CCCTGCCTGCTTGTCCCCTCTCACTCCGTCCCATCCCGTTCCCTCTTCCATCTCCCTGTATCTTGCTAACTGTAGCGCATTTACAAGGGCATGCAGCTGGAAGGTCAATTTTTATGCGTTTTTGCCGCACATTCTTTCACAAAAAATTTTTTTTCGCCTCACATTTGCCGCATTGAATTTGAAAGGTTTTTTTTTTTCGCCTCTCCTGTCGCTCTCCTGCCCCTCCCCCGTTTTCACGTATCCCACGCTTGCCTCATACCCCCGTCGCGTTGTCTCCGCTGCTAAACTGACTGACACAGGGCTCAGGCTGTTGTTGTGCTTCACTTAGGTGCACCCTCTGTTTCAGAGGTTACTTGCCGATTGTGCTCATATTTTTCATCGTAAACGTCTCAAACAATATGGCAGTGCGTTATGGTGTCTCCATGCCGCTTTTCATCGTGTTTCGTTCGGTGAGTTCTTTGAGGTACAGGCACAGACCCTCATCTTTCCCCTTCTCAGGCCAACAGTTCCGATCAGCTTACAAAGTGGCACTTTTTATCCACCTATTTCTGAAACATTTTTGTGCTGCACTGTTTTCGTTTGCCTTTTTTTTCCCTTGATCATCATTTATCTCAAACGGAATGTGCTCTCGTTCGTACCAGGAAGGACGAGTGCGCGAGCGTCCTCCTTCAGTCTCGCTAGCATCACCGGGCTTCGTTGAAAGAGCTCGTATCTTTTTGCCTCTGCCCAAAATAGGGCTTTTTTTTTCTATTTAGAATGCTATTTATCATTTTTAAATTTATGCTTTACACTATAATGCAATTTAGCATTTTTTGCGACAATTTTAATAATACATTTTTTGACTTGTTTTTATCCCCTCATGGTTTCTTGGATCTCCAAATTCTATGCCAAAATGGCAGATGCATTTTTGGCATATACAATAAGCCTTAGACTGCCCATTCACAGCTAATTACGGTGGTCATCCTGATAGCGATATGGACCATGCGGTACATGATGGCGTTATTATATCGCAACTACTTCGATATGCGCGCATTTCTACCCTTCCAGAAGGGTTTCTTGACTGGGCTAGGCGTCTCATAAACATTTACAAACAAAAAAAGTTTGATATTGCTAGGGTAGAACGTTGTGTTTTAAGATTTTGCTTCAGGAACCGATCAGTACTGAGTAAATTCATTTACCCTGATGACCTAGGAATTAAAAACCTAGTTAGTGCTATATTCTCATGAAAGATGCCTCCTCATAACTTCATAAAATTATCCTTATCATATGTTAGTTTCCACCTCTTCCATCTGTTCTGTCACTCCTACTTCTTTCATGATACTAAATAGTTTCTCTCCTTCTTACTCTCTTTGTCTTTTCCTTTTACTCATCCTTCTAGCAAATTAGCTACATGCCTTTTCAATACATGGCGGGTAGGAGGCTGTACTGACAATTCCCACTCCTACCCTCATGCATAATCCGGTCTGTGTTTACAGCTAAGGGATGAAACACAGACTGCATTGAAAAAATATCACCCCACTACATCTGAAAGATAATGGCAATTTGCACCATAAAATAACACCATACACATGGCTTGCGTACAATCCTGTTGGTCTATTATTTTAATAATTTCATGCTGTTTTGGTGAAATTTTGCATCCTTGTGCTACATTTTTCTTGTGATTGATGCCTCTGAGCCCAGATGTCCACATTTCTTAGTCCATATTTCGGCGTCGCAGAACTGGGCAGGCAAGTAGGGCCCACTTTTCCCTCGTACATCAATCGTTGATTTGACAGAAGCGGTTGGTATCATAATTTAACACAATTTTCTACATAATTTTTTGACTCGAATGTGTTGTGTACATGTTGCATATCTCGAGAAATGGCCACAAATTCCTTTTTTTTTTTAATTTTTTTCGTCATTTCATGCGCCAGTTCGCGCATCATCGTTTGACTGTTCGTTGCACGCCCAGAATTGTTTAAATAACCATCATTTTCATGCACCTTTCGATGTCTAATTTTCAGGATTTTAGAGCACTCTTCTGGCGAATGTCTTGCTTGGTTATCTGTTACGTAACAGGCTGTGCTCATTTAAAAAATTCATTGCGATAATTCTTGTTACTGTTGGTGTTGTGCTTTTTACGGTGGCTGATGAACTGTCGAAGCGTGCAAGCACCAATCAGCAGCAGCAGCAGCAGGGCGATTCGGCACAGTCTTGGCGTGCCCTTCCTTCTTCATTCGTTGGTATATTTCCAAGTTTCGAGAAAGTGAAACGGTCCAGTATGATGGCGAATGCGTGTATTCCTCTCTTTCGCGTGATTTATTTTATAAAAAAAAGCGGTTCATATTTACGGGTTTCTTATTTCTTTGCCTAGTGCAATCGTCAGAGACCTGAAAATCCTTCCTCCTCGGCCCCGAGCTTCCTGCACCAACCTTGCATTTTATCGAGGTGTAAAAATGACGATGATCTGAGCAGTGTCGAAGCACGCCGGCCTTTATGGCCAAAATCGGAAAGGGCGCTTTCGGCACTTTATCAGTCCCGATTTACGCCCACACCAGCAGCCCCCGTACAGTGAATGGTAGTTGTACAGAGAAAGAATGTATGCGGGACAGGACGGAAGATAGACCAAAGCGCAGAATTTTGTGGTGAATTCGGCCCGGATGAATTCGCGCTTTAAATTCGGCTCTCGATTCGGCTCGATTTGTCCTCCGATTAAATCATTATATAGCTGATGGATGGAGCCTCCAACATCGAGCAAAGAGAAAGCCGTGTGCAATTGGTTAAAAGAAGTCTTTGGCGGGTTCATGAAGGATTTTTTTCGTTTCTACTTTCAGGAGTATTTCTGTTGTCGTTAGCAGTGTTCTTATCCGCATATTTGGGGATTTACCAAGAAGATTTGTATCGAACTTATGGAAAACATTCGGAAGAAGCCATGTTCTTTGTTGTAAGTTTAACTCTCACAGTATGGATTTTTCTAGTCTGGTTGTGGTTTACGTATTCTTCAGGATATAAGGATGACACATATGTTGGGAACACACTCGCAAAATTTCAGCCTCCCAGTTTCCCCGATTGCTGAGTTGAAAGTGGTTGACAAAGTTCACTCAAACGCACTCCAATGCCTCTTGACAGTGTACTTTTTATGCGTTTTTGCCGTGCAGCGCTAGAGCGCTGCAACAGGCAGCAAAAACGCATATT